AAAATATTGATGTATATACGAAGTAATGTATTTGTGTTTTATGTAGAGTTGTATAGAATTAAGATTTAATTCAATTTTTACTTTCAGATTTAACTTCTCCATATTTCTTGAGATTCACAGCAATCTCCCAGAGTTGGTAAGACCTAGAAATCATTATTAATTACTGTTATATGTTTATTCATTTTTTCATCTAGTGATTAATTTTTAATCTCTTATATTTGGTGCATTTATAGAATTAAAAAAGAATTTTAAAGTATATGGATTATACGTCTATGCTAATGTAATTGCAGGAATGTTTCGTTTTTTCGCCGTAAGATGGCAATAAAGATCAGTCCCGTCATGTGGCGCCATCTGTAGAGTGATTTCTTTCCGCTGATCTTCTATCCTTCTTTTGCTAGTTTCTTTCTTTTTCTAGGTTAGTTTCTGTGGTAGTCTGGAGATGGCGCAGGATGTTCGTTTTTTATGCTATTTTGGTTCTTTTTTCATTATTTATTCTTCTTATCTATTCCTATGCGATTATACATAGGATATTTACAAGAAAATAAATGAAAATCGTCAATATCACAATGATATGTTTATGTGACATTAAAAAGATAGAATTAGAAGAAGGGTTACCGTAAAATCAAAAACACATCTTTATTATGTTTCTGTTTTATGAATATTTTGAAAAATTGTTAGGGTGAAGAAAAATGACGGCGAATGATGTGGCCAGTCTACAAGTTTCTTTACCTCAAATGTTAGATTTAGCATTGGGGACTCCAGAAGTAAATAAAATTAATTTCTTTTCCTTTGTATACGCAAAATAATTATTCACGAAATGAGAGATAAGAAATACTTTAACGACAGGTACATCGTTTTACGTTCGCGTTTAGGTTGGAGCAGTAAATTTAAATATTCTTCATAACTTCCTTCATATTCTATTACATCACATAAATTTAAAATCGACTAAGGTCGAGTATCGTGGTGACGATGCAAAACGAATCAAGGTAAAATAATGCTCTTATTGATTCTATATTTAATTAAAAATTTATTTAAATGACAATAAATATATTACAAAATTTTGATTTATTCATAGACATTGGTAACTTCTCTAAAAGAGGGTCCTTCGCTTTATCTTCAAGAATATAGTATTATCGATGATAAAGATGTAGAGCAAAAACGAGTTCATCCTGATGTAGGTGTAAGAGTAGATGTGATTGAAGGTAAGAAAATATTTTGATGATCTTATCACATTAAAAGAAAAAAGAAAACAAAACTATAATTAACACTTTATGAGAATCATTTTAATTTTTGAAAAATCAAATAACAATTATATACATTTTGATGCTAAATTTTAAAATTTAGAATTTTTAGAAATTGAAAATAATTGATTTATCTTTTGTTTAATGTTTAAAAATCATTATTCTTAAATATATTTAGAAAATTTCACAATTTAATACTGTATTTTTAATAAAGATGTAAAATAATCAATTGCGCGAAATTTCTACTTAAAAAAAGATATTATTTAGATATCATACTAATGAAATTTTAAAAAAATATATAATATAAAATTAGCGAATAAGAATTAGTAAGTCATAAAATTCAATTTTGAAAATTATTCAATTCTTAAAAATTATTTAAGATTAAAATTAAACAAATTTTTTTTTATTAAACTTTTTATATTCTAAATCTGAAGAAAAGGATGAAGATTTAAAGAAGACAGAAGGTATAAGACAAAAAATTGGTCCTGGAAAAGATGAAGAAGTGGAAACAATCATCTACATCGAACCGATCGTTGATGGTGCAATCCCTAGTGCTTTAGCTTTTAAACAGCTCGAACAAAATGTAAAAAATTTGATCTTTATATAAATTCAAATAATCCTTTCTTCATCATCTATCTTTTATTATATTATTCTTTCCTTTTCTTTTCTTTTCGAAATTCTAAATTGCTAAAACATATTGTCATTCCCCAGTTCTTTCTTCATTGAAATAAATAATAACGAAATAAATAATCACACGTGAAAAAAATATTGGAATCGCACAAAATTGTACGATTATTCGTTATTTCATTCAAAATATTTATATATAGATGAGCGATCTGCAACAACAGTTCCAAGCACTGGAAGAATTAGCGAAGACACCAGAACTTATCGAGCGTTTAAAAGGCAAAATCACGGATCCCTTGACCGATGTTTGGCAAATTATTAACATCACCAAAAGATTAGACGCTAGTGAACAAGGTATTGATAAGGTATAACTTGATTGCTTCAATCATTATTTAATAAATGTGAATAATTTATTCGATGCGTCTATTATTTATTATTATTATTTAAAAATTTTAGATTTGAATTAATCTTAAATAATTATTAGAAAATTTATAATTCTCCATTATTTCATTACGTTTCAAATTCTAGAAAAATTGAATTTCATTCATCAATTGAAATAAATAAAATAAATAAAATAATCTAGACTCTTCAAACTCTACATCAAAAAATTAAAATTAATTTCTGGAATTTAATTAAGTCAATATAATAATAATAATAATATTAATAATAATAATAATAATAATAATAATAATAATAATAATAATATTAATAATAATAATAATAATAATAATAATAATAATAATAATAATAATAATAATAATAATAGCATCATATAAATCGCAGAGAAGATAGAAACTATTTATTCTTACTGACATGCATAAACTAGATAAAATTTTATAAATCAAAATAAAATTTTCTATCCTTCTCAATTTTAAAATCGTTCTTCGAAATCTCTTCATTTTTCACAAAACTCAAAGAGAATGGAATTACACGTATATATATTCAATTTTTAGTTAACGAAAATGGTACAAGACGTAATGAAAGGTGACATAAGCCTAGCGACAACCGAGATATCGAAGTTGGAAGAAAAAATAACGCATTTGGAAAGCTCTTTAAACAATTTGGAAAATGTCGTTAAGAATTTGCAAGTGCTCGCAAGCGAATATGCCGCAGAGATGGAACAAGAAATCGAAAAAGAGATAATGGAAGGTGTACCGGAGGAGCCTCATCCACCGGCGGCTCAACGAATTTCGTTAAGCGAGCTCCTGGGTGGAATAGATATAAAAGAAATGCACAAAGACGTGGCTACGTTGCAGGAGGAGGTTAATCAAATAAAGAATGATTTGAAGAATTTAGAGAACGAGTTCGGCCAAACAAAAGATGGTAATGAATTATAGTTAAATAATATACAATGATACAAATGAATAATAATATAAATAAGCATAGGTTTAATAAATATTTAACAGTTGACAGTTTTGGACAATTGATATATTTTAATTTTTAATTTTTATTGCATCAAGATTTGTAAACTATTAGATAGATTTGTAAACTATTAGATAAATTTGTGAATTTAAAGAAATATTAATCTTAAATATTAATATTAAATTAAAGAAAGATATAAAACAAAATTTTTCAAGAATAAATTTTTATCTTATTTCTACTTATCTAAATTTTCATAATATTGAAATATTTATTTTGATTATTTTATTTTAATATTTTCGACAAATAATTAATTTTAATTTTTAATCGTTGTAAATACATTTTTGGTAATTTTAAAATTATTTTCTTTGACAGTTTTATAACTCTTTTCTTTTTTTTAACACCAGAATTTATTGTATCAAATCAAAAATATTTCAATTTTGTCCAATCTTATGAATCATCGAATTACAATTTTATTCAAAATATTTCTTGGCAACTAAATGAAGAAACATTTTTCTAAATAAAATTTAATAAATAACAAGGATAATCAATGACTATGAAACTCGTTGTGATTATTTATATACACTCGTGTTTACGATATTTCATAATTAATTTGCAAAAAAAATATTTTTACAGAATTCGTCACTAAACTAGATAAAAAACAAAAAACTATGCAAACACTGAAGGAGCAGCTCGAAGAAGTAGCGCAAGAAGCTAAGAAAAAAATAGAGATTGCAACTGAAATAAAAGCAATGGAAAAAGAGTCTAAAGGAGAAGAATTTAAGGAAACGCCTAAAGAAACGCCTAAAGAAACGCCTAAGGAAACGCCTAAGGAAACACCTAAGGAAACACCTAAGGAAACACCTAAGGAAACACCTAAGGAAACGGCTAGGGAAACACCTAAGGAAACGCCTAAGGAAACACCTAAGGGAACCCCTACAAATTCCCCAAAACCAGTGAAAGAGGAAAAAGGGGTAAATTCGGAGGAATTGGAGGCCGTGAAAGTACGAATCTCAAAATTAGAAAAGGATGTGATGAACTTGCACGAGAAAGTAGAGAGTACACAAATAATCGAGGCTGGCAATCTCGAGAATTTGGCGTCCAAGGTTCAGGAAATGCAAGCTGATGTGGAGAAATTGACCCAAACTACAGATAATTTGATGGATGAACGCGAAACTCGCGAGATGAATTTCAACGTTAGTATCTTTGATCACCTATTAATCATTTTAAAAAACTTTTTTCCTTTTATTTGTTGCGTTATTAATTTTCTATTGACGTTACGTATGTTTGTAATATTTAAAGCATATTTAATGTATATATATTTTTTTAATTTTGATTCCACGATTTTTAAATAAATTTTGTGATATTACCAGGCGTTACTAGAGCAAGTAGAACTTTTGAAAACGATTAAAGCTGATAGAGAAGATTTGGAGGAGGCGCTTGCCGAGAAAGCTGATGCCCAGGCGATACACAGAAAGGTTTTTCTAAATTTTTATAATTAAAAATAATTGAACGAATTTAAAAGTATTCGAGCAAGCCAATAAGAAAAAGTGATTCTTTTTTTTTTTTATTAAATTTATTCGTTATAGGTGTCTTACGACCAATTCGATGCGGCTTGCGATGATCTCGCTCACGGTCTCGAGGACGCGATCAATAAATTAGGGCAACAGGAAATGATATTGCAACAAGCTCTAGACGAAGTGCAAAAGGAGATCGAGGGTAAAGTAGACAAGATCGAGATATCTCCGTTGAAGGAGTTCGTGAACCAGCGACTGAAGGTGCTTCAAGATAAGCTGAAGAAGGTAGCGGAAGCGAGAGAGGAAATCGAAGCTGCTGGAACGAAAAAGTTGCTTAGGTAAGAAGAAAATTTCTAAGTCGAAAAGTTTATTCATGTTTCCACTCATGATGACATATATTTCCAATTATTTTTTCCATCCTAGGGATGTTCAATGCATATCCTGTGACAAAGATGTGGTCATGAGAATGGATGGCGTTCCCAGATTTAAAGTAGAAACATTACCATGCACTACAAGCATGAAGCCATATCTGACCTACGAGTTGGATCAAGTTAGAAAGCAGCACAGAAAATTGCCCCATAGCAGAAATATGATTCAATTCGAGGCAGCTATTCAAGAAGAAGCAAAGAAACAGAGGAGTGCAAGAGCAGAGGCTCTTGTAAAGACTCCTAGGTATATATATATGATTTGGCTTATTATAATCTCAAATATCTAATGTTTAAGATTCAATTTTCTTTTTTAAATTAATCTCTGTTAATCTCTATTGTTGATAGAAAAATGAATTTCTTTTGGATAAGGAAATTTTTGAATAATGGAACACAGACTTTTAAATCAATTATTCTATATTTTAAACAAATTTATTTAAAACAATATTATACACTTCTCCCAATTTCTAGTTCCTTAAATATTTTCTTTTTCGTTTGTATCAATGTAAAGTCCAATTTCAAATTAAATCTCCATTATTGTACCACCAAAAGACATATTTTTACATACGTTTATATCGTTGTGAAAAATATATATAATGTACAGTTATATAATAATATAATAATAACGATTCAGTTATTACAGCATTGGAATAACAGAGGTTCTATAATAAAAGAAAAATAGATTAAAAAAATAAGTGAAACTGAATTAATTTCATTGAAAACATTCTTAACTGTTAGAGATCATCTATGCAATCGATACTGCGGCGGTAGTCACACGATTACGACTCCACAGCAGAGAGTAATGCGAGTGGGCCATTTCCTCACTCAGTGGGGGCCGGAAATAATTCAGCTGACTGAAGGGATGATAAAGGGAACGGATGGTAGAATGTACAAAAGTCGGCGTATGCCAGAAAAAATCGATGTTTGTGGGCCTACATACTGCGACTTGCCATCGGTAATAGTTCATTATCCATGCACTTTCCAGCTTCGAAAGATAACGGAAGATAATTGGATTTCAGGACAGACAGTCGGCGATTTCCGTGAACTCCTCTATACCACCGCATAAACTGCCTCCTGAGAAAATGATGTCTCCTACCACAAGTAGAACGAATAGACATTTTTATTTTGTTTTCTTTCAAAACAATTTTCTTATTACATCTATTATATGTGAATCCGTGCATTTAAATATAAAATATTCCGTTGCTGTATTTTTTTATTTTCTTATGTATATTTTAACAATGGAAAGGAGTAAAGAGGTTCATTCTAAATAAAGATGAAAACATTTTTGCGCGAAAAAAAATTCATCTTTTGAACAAATTATAATAACACTGATATAATTTCGAAAGGGGGAAAACGAAACGTGCCTATGAAGAGGAGACCTCGGGAAATGGCCAAAGAAGTGATAGAAGAGGTAAATAAATTGGAAAGTTTAAAAAAAATAGATTTTACAATAGGAACAAAGAAAAATAAGATAAATAGAATACTTTACATCATACGCTACATATTATTCTATGTCTTCTATTATGTAGCCTTGAACTTTTGACTATGAGAATATTTAGCATATTAATCCGATACAAAAAAGATGTCTCATTCACAGAATCAATATTTCAACCATTGTTGACAAAATATTTCAACGATTGTTTTTTTCATTTGTAGACATTATTTAAGAGAAATATTGATCCATCCATCCATTTCACTTCTTAATAAATGAAAATAATATTTAAATTGTTTCATTTATAGCTTGCAGAAACAACTGCAACGGAGGGAGATGATCAAGAGTCCATTGGTCCAATCGATGCATTGATGTCCGATCGTATTATTCGTTACACGGATGACGATGAGATTGGGGAGCAAGATCTTTAAATAGAAATCTGAATAAACATCTAAATACATTTTCCATGAAATCATTGATTCAAAATTTTTTAATCATCTTATCATAATCTGAAGCAAATTGTGATCATCTGAATAATATAAGGTATAGTATAATAAAAATATAAAAAAATATAAAATATCGAAGAAACTACACACATATATCTAAATCTGTTTATTAATTTCTATAAGAAAAAAATTGAAAAAATTGAAATTATCGAAATCTAAGACATCTTCTCCTTTTCATTCGCATATAATAAATTTATTAATAAATATCAACAAATAATCGATAGATTAGGAAAACAAAAAACTAGTGTTTTATTAAATGTTTTATTATTAAGAGGGAATTTCGGAGTACACAAGACTATCTAGTGAAGTCGATTTGGAACATCGGTGGTCTGCTAGAAATAAAAATACCACGCATCATAATGACCACACTAGATCGCTTTTCGTTTATTGCACATCACACACCGTTCGAAAACCGTTTACATAAAGGGTGTACACAGCGCTCGAATAGTCTCTTATAATAATATTGGACTCGTCCTCCATTTTCCATTCGATCATTTCCCCATCTTGACGTTCGATCACACCTTCCTACAAACGACTATGCGCTAGTGTTTCTTGTAATAATAATACAATATTTATGTATACGTGTAATGATGTATACATTTGGGGCTAGATTCTACTTCATATAAATTTCAAGGTACAGGAAGTATCTACAAGTATCTACCACATAATTTACGACTGCCTTATTCTTGTGTTTTTTTTTCTTTTTTTTTTTTCTTTTTTTCCTCCCCTTTTATTCATTTTGGTGAACGGCGTTTTTTTTTTCTTTAATCTACGTCTGCTAAATATACCTAATACAATAATAAGATTACTATAGATTACCTCACTATGATCTTAAAATCAACGGTATACACGGAATCATGACAGTAAGATCATTGGCTTATAACGACACAATGCAATAAATAGAATGCCAAATAAATATACGTACAGATAGATTATACTTATTTTTTTTTTCTCCCTCCTCGATAATAATCCATTAAAGGATTGGGAACAATATAATGTCTTAAATATTAATATGGATATGCATTATCGATTACAGTTAATAATACTGGCAGCTTAAAGTACAATGTGTATGTATTACACTCAACCTAATCGAAAAAAGGAATGGTAGAGAGTGCCAAATATACATACATTTGGTAATTATTCGTCAAATCAACAAATTGGAATGGAATATATCTAACGATAAGAAAATAATACCTAGGAGAAATCGTATCTAAGATTATTGCAGGCATCATGGCACTCATCTACGTATGATGTGGTCTCTAGATTATGTCTAATCGATGACGAAGTACATAAAATATTTGGTTACGTGCCACCACAGATTCAATCGACCAACAAAAGAAGAAAACTCGTTCACAACCGTATGCGAATCGAATCCTAATCTCGAAATAATTATTGTAACACCACGGACGTCTCTCGTGTCGCGTTCGTTAGAAACGCGTCGTTGCTGATTACCCAATTACAATATCGACTTAAAAATTATTGTTATCGTTAATTTTATTACGCTATCGTTATTATTAATTATTATTATTATTATTATTATTAAATTATTATTATTATTGTTATTATTATTATTATTATTATTATTATCGTATTATCATAATCGTACGTACGAGAATATTGCACACAGCGACCAACAGACAATGGATAAAGGGAACTAAGTAACAGATCACAGGTGAAACTAGGCTATCTCTGTAACAAATTCAATATCACATGAAAAAATATGTATCGGTTGCCACCTATCGCAAAAATCTCCCAAAAATAAGAGACTGTCGGACGGATGACTCGAGTGACGAGCCATCGATGGTTCGGATTGGCTGACCTCGATCATCTTTATTCACTTTTCTTCACCGGTCAGTCCGGACGAAAAAATATCATCATCATCATCATCATCATGCTCACGTCCATTCTTCCCTCGATTCTTCTCGATTCGAATATTACCAACGTAAAGCAAATTTGTCAGATCAATTTACCGGTCTGAGCCTAATCGCTTATCAATGGCGACGAATATAACTAAAAACCTCGATTAAATGATTAGACGATTAGCAGTAAACTTTGGCAAACTTTGAACCGCGGTTGTGGAACCACGTTACTTCGTCCATTCTTCCTCTTACTCCTTCCTCCCTGCCTTTCCTCGCACGAACGAAAACGCGACTTAACTCTTTTCTTTGGCTTCCAGCTCTTCGGCAATGGCCACGTGGCACCGCCAATTACGTGTGTATCTAATTCTAAAGCACGTATTACCTTTTCCTAGATTATCGTAATACGACAACTCTGATCCCATTGATAAGTTTCTTACAAGAAACTCGTGGCTTCGCCACGAGCACAAGGAACAACCATTTTTTTTTTTTGTAAAGCTCTTACGGTGCTTCCACGAACTCTTCACGTCTCTCTTTTCGTCTTTCCGCAATATATCATTCTATGTCATCGACACTCGTCTAACTCTCTTATATTTATACACATAAACGTTATATACCTTCCTTTAAAATCATTCTGGAAGAAACCAGACTTTCCTTTATTACAATCTTCGTCTTTACGCGATCTTTAACTCCTATTAACTCCTATGCAAGCCATTTTAATCGAATGAAATTGTTGATCCATTTCGCAAAAATAAAAAGACCTCTCTCTCTCACAGAGAAAGGTAGATTTGCGCGATGCTTTTTTTGGGGGAGGGGAAGACGATTCTGAATGAAACGATCATCGAATATCCGATCTTTGAACGCTCGTTTCGAATATAAAAATGTTCTCTTTCCTTTATAATAATCTTTGTTCGTTATGAAATAACGAAAGATCGAATATCGGAATAAAATATCGTCGAAGCGTCGCAATTTAATATTTCAGGACAACTAATCCATCTCGTGGCTAATAAAGCTATAGTATGGAGTTATTTAAACGAAGACGATTAATTTCAAAGTCATTTGCTAAATCTACGAAAAATTTTTCGCTGATTACAAGTTTTGTACTGTGTTATTCCCGTGAATAGTTTCATCTTTCTCGATCGATTCGATCGTTGTCCTTTTCATTTTCCCTCTCGATCCATCTCGGAAGCTCGAAAAAATTAACAGCCTCGAATTGGAACGCGAGACTGGAATGGAAATTTTAATGGAAGTGCCAAATCGTCGTTCTAGTTTTTAATCGTTCTAATTCTGTTACTATATATGAAATGAAAATTAATCTTAATAAATCTACGAATAAGTAATCTGCATATAAATTATGAAATTATTAGAATTCTTCTTATACTACTGTAAAAAAAACAAAAACAATGATAATTTTAGAAAAAATATTTAAAAAATTTTTAAATTTCAGTATGTTTTTTTTAAATCCATTTCATTTTTTGAAAACACACACGATTAATGAGATTATCAAAATAAATAGAATGAATATTTTATATATTTTAGATATTAAATTTTATATCGTTGATAAATCGGTGTTACTTGTATCAATATGAACGTAAGATTAATTGAATTCTCTTTTAAAAACAGAGTTAGAACACTATCAAAACCTAGAACGACAAAGTGTCTTATCTGTATTCTAGATTTCTTGTAGAATATCATTCTCCACGCGCAAGAAACATTTTCTTTTATATACCTACCATCTCTTTCCCTCTTATAAATAACTTTCAGAGTACTGTTCAGGTTTTTTTTTGAGTAATTTTCGTGGGTAAAAGGATATCAAAAAGTGGGAAGCGCCTTAAACAGCGCTACGATAGATGCGCTACAAAAGCTGAGCTATGACTGGATGTAGAAGACACATGTGTTCGGCGCCACGTATCGGAAGACGGTTCACGCTGAAGTGACGAACCATTTCCGGTATACTGTCGAACGGTTTGCTAAATTGACCCAGGATATACGCGTTTAACTCTTCATTTTTTTGGATACGCATGTGCATGAAACCGCGAGCACTCCTGAAAATGAAAACATTTCTTTAAATATTTATGCCAAATTTTTGTAATAATTTAAATTTTTCATCGCTATTCAGTTTGTCGGAGACTTTGTTAATAAAAAAAGAAAAGAATAAACAGAACAATTTTTTCTTAATATAAATATGCAATTTGCATAATCTCGAATAATTTTTAAAATTCAAAGAATTTCTCAATTGTTTAATTAGGTATCGCGTTAAGAAATAGATGAAATTACATAAAAAAAAAAATCATCAATTTAAATATCCACTTACTTTAACGATAAAGAATAATCTTGTTTGGTCGATTCGCTGTTCCTCACCAAATAACTTCCTTCTCTCAGAAGTCGTAGGACAGCTTCCGCCTCGATCCTTGTGATGGATCCGTGGTACCATCTGCGAGAAGAGACAGGAAACAAAAAAAAAAAA